CTGTGTGTGTGTGTGTGTGTGTGTGTGTGTGTGTGTGTGTGTGTGTGTGTGTGTGTGTGTGTGTGTGTGTGTGTGTGTGTGTGTGTGTGCGTGCGTGTGTCGCGTGCGTGAATATTGTTTGTACATGCATTTATTTAAAGCGCCTAGAGCTGTGTTTACACGGGAGTGGGCGCTATAGAAATGATCTTCATCATTATTATTATTAAGTGTTTTGCGGCTCTCGCAACTGCTTTAATTATATGGGAGCGCAGGACTCATCTAATATTTTCAGTTGGTAGGAAATTTTGAATTTTGCACGGGTGGCGGCCGAAGCCTACTCTTATCGATTTTGGACCACCAAGGGATCTCTCTAACGTGCACAACTTGGGCCTCCGAGATTTTTCGCCATTGTCCGAGAAAGCTAGGTGTAGTACTTTCCTACCAGAAGATCAGGGGTGTGGCTGAAAGACAGCTGTAAGAAGGAGCCAAGTAGAAGCAGTGAAAAGGCTGCAGAAAGAGTCGGGAGCCCAAAGAAGGGGGCAAAGGAGGCGAGGCGAGTCTTTCGTCAACCCGCTGCCATATCCCGAATCGTCAGCCACATCCCAACCTTTGACACAGGTCAAACTTCCATATATTTATAGGTAGTTAAATCTACCGGAATATGTATTAGGCAAAGTGATGTGCAATGATAGTCGCAATAGAGAGATTGTTTTGGTCTCTCTTTACTCATATGCACCACACGAATTTAATTGATATTTTTCCCTTTACAAAAGTCTCGAATCTAGATCTTATTGTAATATAGTTGCAGGTTGCAGATTTAATAAATTGCCGACACAGAGAGAGAGAGAGAGAGAGAGAGAGAGAGAGAGAGAGAGAGAGAGAGAGAGAGAGAGAGAGAGAGAGAGAGAGAGAGAGAAGGGGGAGGAGTAGGTCTTGCGAGAACTTCCAAGCAAAACAAAATGGCGACCCGCGTAGTTCGGCTCGATTCGAAAAGTGAAATAGCCATAGCATCTTTGTAGACGATCAAATTAGCTTACTTTTGTGCTATAACGTCATTTTTTTCTTTGCTTTTGTCAATTTGATCATCCACACCGACAGAAAGTTCTTCGAAATTAGGAAAAACAGGTCTTGTTTCACACCGGGTGATAATAGCCAACGCTGGCAAGTCTCACCCGGGGTGAGAGGTCAATCGTAGGGTTTTTATTCTCACCCCGGGTGAGGATAGTCACTTCCTTACTTAAATGATTAGGTGATTAAACATGATCTCTTATTGACAATATAAAAGTCAATTTAAGTTTCATTTCGTTATAAAAAATGTGTTAGGTTTGCTAACTTCTTAGACTTTGTGTTAAACAACACTTTTAACAAAACGAATTCTTACAAGCCTAGGCTTGGCCTTTGTAATCTCGAAGGTTTAGAAGTAGAAGTAGAAGAGTCTTCTACTAGAGTCTAGAGTCTGTCTCTTGAATGTACTGGATAACAGAAATCTGCAACCTGCCACTAGATTACAACTCTAGATCTAGATCTAGATTCGAGATTTTAGTAAAGGCAGAGTTCAGGGAAAAACTTCAAGAAATTCTCGAGGTGATGAGTAAAGAGAGACCAAAACAATCTCAATAATAATATATCGCGACTATCACGACACATCACTTCACCTATACATGTTCCGGTAACTACCTATAAATAGATGGAAGTTTGACCAGTGTCAAAAGTTGGGATGTGGCTGACGATTCGGGAAGTGGCTGCGGGTTGACGAAATGGAAAAGCGCGGAGGCAAGGGGGTGGGGGCAGAAAGTGGAGACGAAAGCGGACGACAGAACATTGCTAGAGGGCAGGAAAGGAGGTGAAAGGAGACAATTTTAGAGAAGAAAATTGTTCTGTCCCTACCTGGATTCGAATCCGGAACCTTTGAATGAGAGGCAAACACCTTAATAAACTCTAGACCACTTTTTGTCTTGAGTCCTTATGTAGTATTTCAATGGAATACGACAGTAGCTGTCGGTATCAATATCAGTATGGTCATGTATGTCCTAGTGGTTTTCTTGTTTCCTGTTTTTTTCTGTTTGTGTGTTTGTTTTGCTTTGCTTTTGTTTGTTTCTGCTATGAGGAATGTGTGTGTGTGTGTGTGTGTGTGTGTGTGTGTGTGTGTGTGTGCGTGTGTGTGTGTGACACTGTGTGTGTGTGTGTGTGTGTGTGTGTGTGTGTGTGTGTGTGTGTGTGTGTGTGTGTGTGTGTGTGTGTGTGCGCGCGTGTGTGGCCCGGGATGGAGGGGGTCTGGAAATACCAAGTTGATCCATTTTCTCAATAATCTACAACACATAACTGGCATCAAACAAGGACTCAAGACAAAAAAAAAAACCCCAGAAAAAAAGAACAGAAATAACAGCAGAATTGTGAAGTATCGTCGGAGGAAGATACTACGGTATCGGTGTGTAGTATCGTCAAAGGAAAAATGCAGCATCGTTAAAGAAAAAACTACCATGACATTGTGTAGTATTGTCTGGGAAACTGCGGTATTGCCGGTACGCTACTGGATAGATTGAAATTGTAATCTAGACAATTAAAAACTGAGAATAACACTGTGCTTAAGTCAATTTTTGCTGAATGGAGAAAAACGACCAAAAAGACATGGACTAAGGCCTATCTTACACACTTGTTGAACTAGCACCGCCCGAGAGAGAGAGAGAGAGAGAGAGAGAGAGAGAGAGAGAGAGAGAGAGAGAGACAGACAGAGAGAGACAGAGAGAGACAGAGAGAGAGAGAGAAAGAGAGAGAGAGGGAGAGAGAGAGAGAGAGAGGGAGAGAAAGAAAGACAGAGAGAGAGAAAGAGAGAGAGAGAGAGAGAGAGAGAGAGAGAGAGAGAGAGAGAGAGAAAGAGAGGGTGGGAGACAAGGGGGGGGGGGAGACAGGGGGGGACAGACAGACAGACAGACAGACAGACAGACAGACAGACAGACAGACAGACAGACAGACAGA